TAATTATGCCCTTAACCGGGGAGAGTGCTTTTCATGCCTGGGCAGGGATCTCTGTGTACGTCACATCCAAATTTATAAGGTGTGATCACACCAACGGCTGTCTTTAATGAAGTGTTCGCCTCAATGGAATGGCTCATTGTCCTAGGTGTTTTGATAACAGGTGTTTCATTTATTGGAAAACAAAAGGCCAGTTTGTGCCAATATACGAGAGGACAGAAATGAACATGCAACTCCTCCCAGGCTCCTCGCACATTTAATGAAGCAGTGTCAGGGCACGAAGGAAATTATCAAGTCATTTCACCTCATTTATTTTTATCTGTCATAAAAAGTCTAATGTTTTTGCAGGTACAATAAGTTTAACCTCGCATTCAAAGTGCGAAAGAGATATGCACAGCTGTCAGCGCCTTCGGTTACACTAAAGTCGGCAATACCCTCAGTCTATTTTTAACCATTTTGACCCTTGACCTCAATGTCTGTAGAGAAGATCTAAATACAAAGGAACTGGAAGGATAATAACATAATACAATCGTTTAAGTGCTTTCACCTTTGCACTGATCTTTAGACACAATTCTGCCTTCAAAAACAAGACTCAAAAGAAGCAAAGGAAGAAGCTATTCGTAAATGCATTAAAAATGATCGTAAGCGCAACAAGATTATGTGACAGAAATGGAAACAGACTGTCGATGCAGGCTGTGCTCACATCTGAGGACAGCCGCTGACCTCTAGAGGGGACGATTGTCTTTTCTTACCATTTACCAAGTGTGGAAAAAGCACACAATGACACAAACAGCACACTGATTAATTTGACTTTATTGCTGGGACAAAAATAGCGGCAGAGTCCGGTTAAGAGTCCTTGAATATAAAGGGAAGCCAGGCAGAGCAGATAAGATTGTCTCATCTGGCTCACCAGCCTAAGACGCGCCGAGCTGCCCACAAGGAGGAGGAAGGCACAAAAATGGACGACAGGATGTGGCTACTATTAGGCAGGTAATGGAATCCATCTGAGGTGCATTAGAATCAGTCAAACACAACCACACTTCAATTCCATTCAAATGACTGTCAGCATCAGAGGAAATGCACCTCGGCTGTGTTCTGTTGAGGTGACAAAAAGCGTCTCTAGTGGTGCCAGGCTCGGGCATGCCACTCTGTTCTAATGGTGAGGCCGCCCGAGTGCCAGTGAGACTGATGTGCATGAGAGCTGTCAGCCTCTCACTGTAATAAATGCCACTTCTTCCCCAGCCCTCTCCGACAGTGCGTAGATACGGGGCAGGGGGCTCGGGTGGGGGTCTGTGCTGAGGTTACACACAAGAACCTGTGACCCAATTGTGGCCACACCAGCTGTTTCCCCTCCACTGCCTCGCGACCACTGCCTCCTCTGTGGACCACATCTTGCTAATTGGCCTCCGCTGCCTGCTGAACACACACCCACACTTTTACACACCCAGCAGGATAATACATATCAGGGAAGTGGCCAATAGAAAGCGTTTACAGCTGTAATGCTGTATAAATGATGTTTGTCCGATTACAGATCCAAGCTGAAACACTATTGAGGTTTTATCCATCTACAAAGCACTGCATTCAAAACCTAAAATTATTATTACAGGTTATTATATTAATACGCTCAACAAAGATGCACAATAAATCACTAATTTCTCAGATACAACTGTATTGATTGTTAATTTACTAAAAGTACAACCAAGACAATCCATCTACGCATGGTTATACACAGAAATTTTTATGCCAAGCCAAATCCCAGACTGTAGGTTTAATGCCAATCACAGCAGACTAGGACTGGTGCCTTTGCTGTGGCAAGAGCAGCCAAAAAGCAAGATTTCCTAATACAAAATATTTTGCTAATACTATGTTTTTGTTCCTTTGTAGATGTAATTACTGAAATTATTGTTCTCAAAGGTTCACATTACAGACATTAGGACTGCGCTGCTGCTTTTAAAATCTGTGATTTAATAAGAAGCATTTCTGGGTAATTTTCAGATTCTGGTTGCCAGCGAGGTGCCTGCTTTGATTTGCTGCCTAGAATCCTCAAATCAAAGTACATTAGGCGAGCCTCTTCTGGTCTTGACAAATGCTGAATTGCGTTGCAAGAAGCTTGAGCGTGTCATAATTTCCTTGACAATGCTGGCCCTGTGATGTGGCACATATTGACAAGGTTCTGAGCGGTCGTGCTAGCCTCCCTGCCACCATGCTGGCTAATGTCCTCCTGCCTCGCACACAGACAGAGGCACAGACTGTTGACGGACTGACACACTGACAGTAAGATTCTTTGGAGAAGAAACTGAATTAATTGGTGCTTGCTCCTGCGGCTGAGTCCTGAAGGCTGTGCTTGTGTGTGTGTGCTGCAGTAATGGTAGGTTGCATTGACAGGAAGGTTATTTAATAAATCCTGAAATGGGTAAAAGGCACAAAACTGTAAAGGATACCTGTTTCTGTTCCTTGTCTTATGCCATTGCCCACCACCAGTATCTGCTCTCATTTTTCTGTGCGCCGCGAGACACTTAAACCCGCGCACACCTAATCATGCTCCCACATAAATACACTTAATCGCTGACACGCCGGAGCAGGGCGCGAGTCGTACCTCAGACACATCCAAGCATGCACAAGTAGGCTATAAAAGTACACACAGAAGCATGCACGGGATCACGGCTCAATCAGTCTGATTTGTTTGTTTCCTCCTAAGCATTTGAGGATTCCTTGAGGAGGGCGAAAAAACTTTGTATAATCAAGTCAATTATGTCATTCAATCAAGTCGCAAAATCATCTCAAGCCCTTGCTCGGATCCAGTGATTGCGAAGTCGTTGGGAATATTTTCGTGCTGCGTTCTATTGTGCAAATAAGCCATCTTTTTAAAAAATGGGAAACAGCCGACCGGGCCGATGGTGGGGTCTTCAGTGCCACTTGTACCGGAAAAAAAATAGCAAACAAAGCCTCCTTCACCTTGGTAGGCTTCCAGCGAAGAAAATGACACAGGGTTTAAAAAGCCGGTTACATATTGTCAGTGCCTCTAAAAAAACACTTTCGATTAATTTATAACAGCTCTTTTGTCTCCTTCAGGACGCGGTACATCATGTGCCCGTGAAAATCCATCCGGAGTGAAATTGTTTAAACTCAAGGTCAAGTGCTGATGTTGGAGGACTGTATGAGCTGAAGGTGACCTTGACTGATGTGCAATATGACATGAGGGAAATGGATCTCAGCTCAGCATGGGCAAATTATCTGTGAAACGCTGCCACTCTATTAAAGGCTGTTTGTGTGTGCGCGTGCCCGGACTCAGCAGGTGTGTATGTGTGTGTGTGTGTGTGTGTGTGTGTGTGTGTGTGTCATGTGCATGTCCTTGTAGAGGATAGGGTGGGGAGGGGAGGGGGGAGTGGGTGGGTGATCATAGCTCTCAGCTGGGGGTATTGCACATAAGAAGCAGTGGTGCCACATAGTCCAAATAAGGATGCTAAATGCACTATATAGCTCAGCTGTATTGCCTTATGTTCTTTTACACAGAGGACATACACAAACCTTGTAACATTGACATAAAGAAATACATTTTATCAATACAATTTTTTCATGTGCTAAGGTGGGTCCAGTGATTGGGCTGCACAGTTTCAAAATTATAGTTATGATGCAGGAAGACAATGCAAAGCACAATGTTTCGAGATATCTCATTAACATTGCAAAATTTAATGTACTGAAACATGCATTCTTGTCTGGCTCATGACTTTGAATTTCTTATGTGTTTTTCTCATCTTTGTGCTGACTGACAGCATTAAGAATCCTGTTAACAAGGCAATCATGTTTCCTGTTGCTTAATTGCCATAGAGGAGATTTGTCTTAAATGGTCTATAAGGACCAAGCAACAACAGCGCCAACAATTCAGTTGAGCCTAGGGCTATTTTCCCACTGCCAATTTCCAGGTGTGATATCATATGCACCCTGCAAGTGTACAAGGAGACGGATGGAAATGTCACTGGTGCACCCGCCGGCGCATGTACCATGACAAATTATGAACCGTGATCAGTCAATGCAGCTTGTCAATGACCTGTGTTTGTAAATAAAAATATAACATCCTTGTCGGACACATGGCAACTAGAACACCAGGAAGACTTAGCCACATGGCAAAATGGAAAACTACGACTTGTACACTATCTGTGTGAACACATTTGAATTTTTTTTTCTGGTATATACTGTATCACAATATTATGACAACATTTATGACAATCTATTTTTCACCATATAAACAATAAATAAATCTCACTAGTACACAACTACACCATCAGTTACTGTTTTACGCATAGATCCTCTGTTATTTGACAGGTTAGCATTCAAAGTTTGATCTGCACATTTTAAATCCTATAATAAACAACATACTACATACAAGATCAAATACAAATTATAATCTGTCTCTACATTAAAGCATGTTATAATATGCAACTTATTTTCTGTAGGTGAGCACTTGTTACAACCACACAACCTAATGCCTATGTGATTATCAACAGTGCAAAAGTGCATGATCATTCTTAAGCAAACGGGCTCTGGTTGTCCTTGGTCAAAATTCAATGACACAATTTTTGAAAACAGTGTCTTGTAGAGGTCCTATGGAGAAAATTGCAATGTAACCACTAAGCACTCGCAGTTTTCAGAGGGCTCTTATTTAAGCTTCAAAACAAGTTTACTTGCTGCATATGCCAACATCTTGACTGGGGTTTTGTGACTGTGGTGTGACTCAGCGCCTCTCATTTTTCTCTGACCTTGTGATGTCACAGAGCAGCTCCTGCCTCACACATCCACATCTGCTCAGCGCTCACTTTTGGCACACTGTTAGCCGGGGCTACATCTGCACCAATTCAGATCTCAAGCTACACATGAGAATCACCACTGCCTACCAGGAAATCTTAACCTGAGAGCTAGCGGAAATGACAGCACATAAGTTAACTAGGGAGTTCCACCAGCAGAGCACCGAGCCAAGTTAAAACAAAATAACAGAAAAGTCTTACCTTTCCAAACTGTTCAAAATACTGCTTCACATCTTCCACTACTGTGTTTGCCGACAAACCTCCCACAAATATTTTCTTTGTTCTTGTGACCATCTGCAAAGAAAAGAACCAAAGATTAGAAACAAAATGTTACATTAATTGCAATCTTTTAAAAAATAGCTAATTGCATAATGTTAGTATTTAGTAATACTGAAAAAACACACAGAATAAATAGAGAAAATATTTATACTGAAAAGACACAATTTACTTTTAAAACCAAGAGATCAAATTTTAAGAGCTGGACAAAGTCAGCATAAAGGAATAAGGACAGACACACAGTCTGACACTGTCATGTACAAAGTTTCCAAAGAGACTCCATGTTTAGTGTTAGTAACAGACAAGGTCAACTTCAGCAGTGAAAATAATAAAATCACAGCTACAAGGAGCAGCACTGTGAATTTTCCTCACAATGACATTTCAAATGGAAACACTAATGAAAACAGACTGTGGCAGAATTTAAGACCTCCATTTCATCCTTTAAAGTTTCTGTTTATCTTCTTGCCGAACTCAAAAAACAACAACAGAAATAATTTATGGACTTTCAAAAAACAATTAATGAGAGCTGGAAGATGGAATCAGAGTGCATTAAAGCCTCATTTAGCTTCAAACAGCTCGAATATTAAGGATTATTACCCACGGCATCAAAAAGGGCACAACATCTGCTGCTGAAAGTATGTGCTAAATTTAGGAGGACGTTTTCTTCCTGAAATATGGTGACACGTTCAGATGAGCAAGGACTATTTCTTGAGGAAGATTACATATGTCTTAAGCAGTGATTCATGACAATTACATGACTAATGCAGCTCTATTCCCAGCACACAGTAGGATAATATAGTGTCTCTGTAAGCAGTTTTACAAGTGTGAAAGGACATCTGTATTTGACTGTGACCACACTGGTCCTCTTCGAAGGTCAGACCTTAAACGGCCTACATTTTGTGTCTCGCAAGGATTTATGGCTCATGACCAAAGGCACTCCACAAACCATTCCACAAATAAGTTTACACAATGGGAATTCTCTTATGGCTAATAAAAACATGAACACAAAAGAGGCTAATCCTCCAGCAAGAATCGCTACCTATCTGTCTTTTGTTTTCAATACTATTACTTTAAATAACCTGTGCTTCCAAACCGATACCTGAAGGGTACTTTATTTCTCAATATTATTAAAATCCTTTTTTAAAACATGCTTGTTTCTTGAATCATCTCTGATCTGTCTACATTATAATCTAAAACAAACATGCAGCTGATTCTCAAGAGCCCTTAAGTTTCACTTATACCAAAGACAGCACTTGCACTGTGGCAACTTCATGTGTTTATTTGGGAAAACTGCTTTTAACCTGAACGACGATGGATGTGTTATAATGAAAACTGAATCATATTATTAGTTTGTTGATGTTATTAAACAACTTGAGGCCCCACACTGGCAACTTAATGGTGGATAAAAGTTGCAAGTGGACACAGTGCTCCTCTGCTTCCTGGTAGGAGCTTTGTTTTGGCACATGTAAGCCTATGTTAAAACGTGAGTGCAGTTTGTTCATGCACACAGAGCACGTGGGGGGGTGTCCCCAGGCAGTGCACAGTGGTCGCCCACTGCTCCTGACCCAGCAGCAGTGAAGAATGGGTCAAATGCAGAGGACAAAGTTTCCCACTGTGACAATAAGGTATCTTAATCAAAAATTTTAATTTGTGTGGCTGGCTGAACAGTACAATTGCACATAAACAACAGTGTAGAGTAATAATTTCTACAATAAGTAATACTTTCTACAATTAACAATTTATAATTCATTCATGTTGAAGTTAGACATCAGCTTTAAAAATGAACAGCATTTATTTTATTTAAAAATGTATTGCAGAAGAAAATAGCTTACAATAGAAGAGGATTAAAATGGTCAAGTCAACCAAGAAAAACACATTTCAATATTATTTTAACCAATATCAATTTATAAAGGTTCAAACAGCCTTGTCCTCAGCCTTGATGTGGTGTACCAAATATCCCATACACAAAAGCCTTTACTTCCATAATGTAGCAAACAGCTTTCTCATGCCCCACTGTGTGCAGTGCTCATTTTGCATAGACAAAATGAGGCTGCTGCGAAGTCACGTCTGCTCTGCCATAGAATCAAACTAATTACGGGGGCCGGATAAACATAGTCTGAAGATGCACAAAGCAAACAATCAGGAGGAGTCTACCTTGATCAAAACGCTGACCCAAACACTTTCTGTCTCTGAACGAGGTTACGCAGAGAAAAAAGTAGCAACATTGAGCGGGTGCTGAAGTAACCATCTGTCAAGTGCTTTCCAGGTGCAGCAGTCTCTGAGGCTGCACTCACAAGCACAGCACCTCCCACACACCACAACGCACCGCTCCCAGATCCACATGAACTGGCTTTTATCAGCTTTCACGATGCTCTCGTGCTAAATTAAGCCTCAAAAGTTACTACTCAATCAAGGGTTAATGTACAATTTGTGTATTCATTATTTCCTTAAAGAACCGTTTTGCAAAATTGACTTTAGGGAGCTTTAAGCCACGTTAGAAAGTTGTTACCTCCTCAAAAACAACTCTGCAGCCTAAATATGCTGGCTTTGTGTATGTTACTGATGAGGAAACAACATTATAACACAGATTAGAAAATAGCATAAAACGGGCTTCCTTTCTTACATGTAACTCACAGAGTAACTACATGGTGTTGTCTACCTCAGCATGAATGTTAGGTTGAGTAAGGAAGGACATCTTATGTATATCCTAAATCATCACGGTAACCACAGTCCACAGCACATTAGAAAGCGGCTTATATGCAGAGCCTGTTCCTCTATGGGTCAGAGAAAAGTACACGCAGGAGGACATAGGAAATTGAGTTGAGACATAATATTACATGTATAGATTTTTTTTTTTTGCATTCACATTCAAATGGCAATTTAGATTCACCTTAATAACTTGTACAAGTTTAAAAAGTATTAATACGTTGAAGGACAAAGAGGATAACCACACTGCTGTAAGTATTAAAAGTCAAAACGATAATCACATTATTTCTTTAAGTCAGGGGTTCACATCACGTTCTGCATGTTTCTGAATAAAACATATGCCACTAATATCAGAATAATGTTTATGTTGTGCTGCCTATACTTTAGTTCTATTAAACATGAAAATATTTTAATTCTCATTATTATTTGTGGTACATATACAGGCCTGCATTCCCAGATCTTTGTTAAACAACACCACACAGGCCTGTCACAATAACAAATTTTGAACTGTGATATATTGCTGAAGTAAATATAGATGATAAATGTTAATACTGAAACTAATCTATGCCACTGACAGAATAACCCACGAGCAGAATTAAACCACAAAAACTATTTAAATGTACAACAATGTTAAAAAATCATAAGCTGCAATAAATTAAGATCTGAAACACTCTTAAACACTTTAGTACTTAGTTTGCATCTGTCATGCATAAGTCAAACATGTTATTTATTCAACCATTTACAGCTTAATTCTTATTATATAGCCAAAAAATTACCAAAAATGTCATAGTAGTGCAAAGAAAATGTACCTACGATAAGAACGGACCTCAAAATGATAGTGTTCCATCTTTCAGATACTGAACAACAAGGCGATAGTGACAGGCCTAACATCACAGAGAATATATTCTGCATTTCCTGCCAAACATACAGGTTATACATTTAATACATGTGAGATGATATGGCCAGCCTGGTATAGGGTTATGCCATGTGCTAGTCTATGAGCTGCCCTCTCCCTCCCCCTCTTCCTCATCCCTACATCATGCCTCTGGCCTCAGGGGTTATCAGGCTTTGGATGCAGCTGACGGCAAACCCTGAGCCAGACAGCTGCTGATAAACGGCCTGTGTGGTATTTATCAAACTCACTCACTTTTATCAATGACAAATCTGGGTAAATAAAAATAAATAAAAATAAACAAAAAATAAAACAAGTCAATGTTTATCTTCTCTTGTGTCTGCTTGCCTGCCCAGCCTCTCCTTCTGGGGCTGCCCATTCCCCAAACAGTTTTAGGCCTTGTTTCATCAAGTCGCAGGCAGTCAGGCTTCTCGGTCCGTCCTTATACTTTTGACACGCTGCTCAATGGCTGATGGGATTTCTTGAGTCCTGGTAAAACACAATACTTTCTTATTTATCCCCCAACCTGACAACAAGGCATTAAGCTTCATAGCAGTATAGTGCATTTCCCTTAAGGCTACACACTGTCTGCTATTGTTTGGGATACAAGAGAAAGAGGTAAAGATTGTCTCATCCATCCCAGAGTTCGATGCGTTTGGACAAACACAACAGGATCGATAATTCCCTCCTGATAATTATTACGACCCGGGCTGTGTTAACATGCAGCCAGTGCGTTTCCATCGAGCTGACTGGCTGCATTTCATTTGACACACATCATTTTACATTTAAATGAATGCATATTCTTGTTAACCAAATCATACACCACTACGAGAATAAGCACCAGGGAACAGACGTCTCCTCACTGCATTTAGAGCAACATTAGTTCTGGTCATTTGGGTATTTCTGATTTTCTACCAACACTCCCGGAGAAAATGGACCAGTCTTCAACCCAGTTTCTCCCTTGAACCCGATTTTTCAAACACTGAGTTATTTTTGCACAGTCAAACAGGCAGCCTGCATGTGTGCTCAGAAATAAATGTGTTTCTAATTTCTTGAGTGGACTCCGAGAGCATCAGGTAAACCTACAGAAAATATGAGAGCGGACAGCTACAAACAAGAAGTTGCTACCTCTTGACTCTGCGCGCCTATTCCCTCATTACCCTAATATGCCTAATGGTCAGGGTTATCAGGCCTTTGGATGCAGCTGACGCAAACCCCTGAGCCAGAGCAGCTGCTGAATAAACGGCCTGGTGTGTATTTAATCGAGAATCTGCACTCCACGTTTAAATGCATTGAACAGAAATTATCTGGGGTAAATAAAAATAAAATAACAGAAATAGAACAAAAAAATAAATCATGCTCCAACTCTTGTCTAGTAATTGCTCGATGGGCACCTATTGATGTAATGTTAGCATTTGCC